CGCCCCTCCAAATTCCTCTTCAGTGCCTTGACCCTGTTCCCACAGTTACTGAGACACGATGATAATAATGGGGAGCATGAAATGGATAAGCAACCTGACAGTTCCCCTGCCCTGCTACAATTCTTAACCATTTAACACCATAAACGACGAAGCAACAGAGCAATGTTATCATCAGTGTCAATGTTTCCCTGAAATTTGTCCAGAATACCACTAGACAAAAATTCAGCTCAGTTAGTACAAATACACTAAGCTTAGATTGAGAAACAAATACAGGATAACATAAAAATTTGAGATCAAGGAGAGATATAATCCTGTTTAGATATCTACTTTCTAATGGCTTAAGTAGGAGGTAGGCATCTAATTTCCCGTTTACATCTGTGCCTTAATGACTTATAGGATATTTTATATAGAATGTTTGTGTACAAAAATCCTGTTTTATTTTAAAATCAAGTTAATTGCAGCACTATTTTGTCATTTTATTTGGCAAATCTATTGAAGATTCTTAGATCTGAACTTGGGTTTTGGCTACTTACATTATGTGAAATCTTGCAGCCTACCAAAAAGAAAATTTCCAGTTCCAAACAGTTTTGAAAATTTGCTCAGTCATTCATCCTTGCTAATCTGGGAAGACATATTGAGGACCATTGCTTCTGGGGACTTCTTTTTGAGAGAACTCACTCAAACCCACCCTTGGTTACAAGAATCAGGAAGAAGAATGAATTTTATGTGTTCAACTAAGCCAAAAAGATGCTTTTCTTTGGAATGCAATTGCTACCTACATAATCCTTAATTTGTGTTAGCATGATCAGGTTAGAATTTAACCCCCAGTCTGGTCTGCCAGAAGGCTTGTAGTTGGTTGGTTTTGGTTACTAAAAGAAACATTCCTTTGGTCAAATTGCATGCTTGTTTTCACAACAGTAAATGCTGAGCTAGTTAAATAGACCTGAATATAGTGAAGTAATCAATATAAATTCCTGTTGCAACTCCATGAATTTCAGCAGAACTTTTTCAATAACTTATTTTTGGCCATTTGCTATGACTACTGTTTAATGAGTTTGTTCGGACATCTATATTTACATTGCATAGCATTTCAGTTCCAGCACAAAGGAAAAACAATTGCTCTTTCCTCTGAACTGTGAAGTTACAACTATTTCCTCCAAGATACCCTCTTCTAGAGAACAGTGTATGTATGTGTGCTGGTTTTGGCTGGAGGAGAGTTAATTTTCTTCACAGTAGCTAGTATGGGGCTGTGTTTCGGATTTGTGCTGGAAACAGTGTTGATAGCACAACAGTGCTATCAACACAACAGTGTTGTTGTGAGCATTGGATGCTCACAAGTCTATGGGGCCGGATGGGATCCACCCAAGGTTGCTGAGGGAGCTGGCAGAGGAGCTCACCAACCACTCTCCATCAACAGGGGAGGTCCCGGATGACTGGAGGACTGGTAAAG